ACGTCCCATTTTCGCCCAGCTGATCGGCGGGGCTTCGGGATGATGGGGGGAAGTGCTTTCCCCCATCATCCCGAAGTCCGCATTTTCACCCAGCTGATTGGCGGGGCTTCGGGATGATGGGGGCGGAAGCGCTTTCCCCCATCATCTCGAAGCCCGCATTTTCGCCCAGCTGATTGGCGGGGCGAAAATGGGGCGCTTGCGATGATCGCTTCCCCGTGATGATCGCAAAGCAATTTTTCCCCATAGGGAACATCGCCACGCGATCAGAAAAGCGATCACAAAATCTTCATCGCTATGTGGATTCGTCGTTAAATGGGGTGCCCGTTAAGCGAGGCACCACTGTATTTCTAAGGTTTGATTTCATTGTCTTTTAATTGTGCTGTAATCTCTTTTCTCAATTTTGAAGCTGAAACGTGGGGTGTCTACTTCTACAGAAATACATGGTACAGGACCACAGTGATGCAATAAAACCCTGACTACTAGAATTAACTCTTGCATGAAAACCAGCTGTCTTCTTTAAGGCAAGAGTAGCATAGAGGTTCTACCCACTTCTCCAGCCAGTTCCAAGCACTTTTTAAAAAAATGTGTTTGTTCAACAGCGTACAATGGAAAGCAACCAAACCATAAACCATAAACTTATAAGCCTAAAATCCATCCCTTCACAATCTCTCAAACACCATGACATGACATATTCCTCTCATCTGGCACTGAGCGTACCACCAGTTTTTCATTCCAGTTTATTCCTTTATTCAGAAGATTTATGTAACTGTCCTTCAGCACCGCTTCCAGGTCATATCACAAAACCAGAGGCAAAATCCAGTTCTCGTGTATGTGTGTGTATGGATGAGTTTGTAAACAATCCAGAAACGTCGGCTGGTTTGACACAGAGCTGCAGTATCATCTATGAGGTCTGGGATCGTGGAAACCGTACCTGTGTCTTATTACCTGCACTGGTTCCTACTCAGTTTTGCTCAGATATGTTGAAGGAAGAGTGATATAAATTAAGTAACAACAACAAGATATACATCATTTAACCAACAGCAATCGATCGTATTTGTTTCCAGTAGGGAACGCAAGACTGACCCCAGAGATTCATACCTCAATGAAGTCTGCCCTTGCCGGCATATAACCAGCCATATCCCTGGAGAGCAAGGAATCAAAGGTAGGCCGTGGGGGATCTTCAGTAGCTGGGGGGAAAAAAACAGAACATCACATGTTACGAATCAGTTCAGTGTACTGTTCTTAGTTGACTTACCATTTGGAACAGAATAAGAAAAAAAAATTCAATAGCACAGTTCTATAGATGTTTTTGAAAGTTTCACAGAGCTTAAAGGACTTCCTCCCCAGGTCTGTGAGCAGGTGGCTGCAGCCTAAACATAAGTACTTTTTAAGTTTTCTCACAAGTGTATGGGGCCATCTGCAGTCAAATCCTAATACTGTACTAGGACAAGTAACAAGGAAGACAGGAACTGCTCTTCCACCCACGAACCTTGTAAGGCGGTGTGTGGAGAATTGTTTCCAGGCTGTGGCTTCCTTTGAATGGGCCTATAAGGTCCCCGTTGAGAACAGCTGGTCTAAATACAATACTTGTTTAGTTCTTTTTAAATATGGGTATACTTAACCCTTTTTAGCATTTAAATATTGTCTTTTAATTGTTCTAAGCACCCTTGGGTCCTTTTAAGGAGAAAGGCAGGGTAATAAAAAAAGAAACCAACCAAAGTCACAGGTGTTCACAGGGACCATATCTGGAATCCTGTGTTTATGACATTTATAGAAGATTTCAACGCACACAGGTTACCTGCTGACTGAAATCAGTAGTAATTTGAAGCTAGAGCAAGCCCAATGAAGAAGATGGTGACTCACCAAAGCCCCCATGGGTTTTAAAAAGCCTACTCTGCTTGTGACTTTCTGTGGGAGTTCAGCCATGTGACACAGTGGTGTGCATTATATCATGGGTGCAGCTGTGCTCCATCCCACCTGTGAAAATCCATAGAAATAAAGCACAATAACGGAAAACTCCCCATTTCTCTGGAATGGACACTTACGGTAAAACGGAATGGCCGAGTCAGTGTGCTGGTTCTCTTCGGCAAGTTTCAGATTTAATAATGAGGATGCAAAGAGTGGGTTGTTGATGAAGTGCTTCATGTAGTGTTTTTCACACTCTTCTTTTGTCTTTGTGCTCATCTGGTTGGCGACATCTTGCCTGTAAGAAGGACAGGAATGTTGGTGAAGTACTTATAAAAGAGCGACCACGCCATCATCTGCGTACGCAATGAAGCTGGGCAGATCACAAAAGAAATTTCCAGTGGTTAATAAGTCATAGCTTCTCACCAGTTTCCAAAGCCGCAATCCATCACGGCTTCTAGAAGGGCCATTTCTTCCTGAGCTGTCCAAGTAGGATCAAGAACAGGGAAATTGGAAGTCTGCAGAGGAAGGAAAGCATTGAAAGTAATTAATTTTGACTGGAATCTCAGGCGTGCTCAAGTTTTATTGACTCTCATGGAGTGGCAATTGCCATCAAGATGGCAACACTATTTTGAAGCACACAAGAAAAAATAATGTAAGTCTTCCCATTTCCTACATATACAACTCTAGACAGCAACTTAGCTTAATCATCCCAATGCCCATAACCAGATTCAGCCCAAATAAAACTTGTCCTTTTATTGCTTTTGATTCAAGGAGTCTTCAGCTGAAGGAGGTCCGGTTTTGGAACAAGAATACCCTGTCAACCCCCTTATTTCTCAGAACTAAGGAAAAATCACCATGACTACAGTAGGTATTAGAAACATCTTCACCAGTTTCAACCACCTTCTCATGCTAGTCATGTATGGTTACGTTTCACAGATGATACATCCTTTATTTCCTGATACTCTTGGTTGTGTTTTTTTTTTTTTACCTTTTAGGGGGAGAGGGAAGCTATCTGCATCCTCCGGAATTGGTGCATCATCTATTCAGGATAATGTATATTTTGGAGTAAACTAACGCATCCCCAGCAGGAAAGGGCAGAAGGTGATTCAGAATCTATTGGTAGATTTTTGGCTTACTTGGGAGTAGAACAGCAGTGGTTTCCAACTCCTTGTGGTTTAACCACCAGAACACCTACTGGTTAAACAAGAAGAAAACAAGAGTGCCTTTCTCTAATTCTGGTCTTAGTCTCTGACTCTAGGTGGGAGATCTTGGCCAACCAACCATCCATGTGATTCTAGGGGGAGGGTTCTTGGGGTTCTAGTTAAAAACAAACCCGGCTCACCCATATTCTATGCCTTGTGACTTTTTAAAGGGTTCATTGACCTTGGTAGCAGATATAAGTCCTAAACCTTGTTTGCTTCAGCCCTCTAGGTCTGTGGTTCTCAACCTTGAATCCCCAGATCTTCTTCTTGGACTAAAACCTGCCAGAAGCCTTCACCACTCACTGGGCTGGCCAGGATTTCGCCCAAGAACATTTTTTTGGGGGGGGAACCCAAGGGTTGGAAGCACTGCCTTAAAGGATCTTTTGGACTTCAGCTCTTAGAGGCCACAGCAAGCACATCCAATTAGATGAGGTTGTAGACTGTATTCCCGATCATCTGAACATCCCTCACTCCTGCTTTAACAAAAAGTGATAGACTTGTCTTGCTACTATTGCTACGATCATTTGAAGATTATGATCAAAGCAAACACACTGCTTTTTTGGAAAATAAATTTTGAACATTTATTTACAAGAGAGAATGCCTGCTGAAAGAGTTTTTGCCTTCTCCCTGCACTTCCAGAGGTCCAGTATCGTAACTGTGTTATGTAGCTCAGTGACTCCCTCCAGAGGTCACAAACCTGATCTGATAAGGCAAGCTGCAAATGCCCAGGGTTGACTTAAAGGCATCCATTATTGTTCTACAAATAAAACCCAGTAAATCTCCTAGAGACGAACAAAGATGAAGAAGGACAATCAGCCCTGTGTGTTTACCATTATTTCGTAGGTGTGGTTGCTCTGATGTTTCTTGTACTCAAATCCTCTTGTGAAGCACTGAAAAACAAGGACTTTCTCCATTAATTTTCTCCGTCCCTTCTGCAGAGAGGCTCGAGGAATCAGGTAAGGAAAAAGGAAACACTGTGGTCTATACCCCCCTCCATACCCCCCTTTTCCAGAAATGCCCTTTCATCCCAAATAGAGCCTGTTTCACAACTGGCTTTCAGCTGAAACTTTTCCAGCAGGCAGCTTCCTTTTACAGTGGTGCCGCGCATAGCGATGATAATCCGTTCTGAAAAAATCGTCGCTACACGGATTCATCACTGTGCGGAACAAAAAAGCCGATAGGAACACATTAAAACACATTTAATGCTTTCCTATGGGCAAAAAACTCACTGTTCTGCGAAAATCCTCCATGCGGCCGCCATTTTCGCTGCCCGGTAAGCGGGGAAAGGGCGCGAAAACACTGTGGGCGGCCATTTTCTTTACCCGGCGGCCACTTTGGAACCGCCGATCAGCTGTTTAAAAAACATCGTTATGCGATAATCGGTAAACGAAACGCTTACCGGTCATCGCAAAGCGATGTTTTACCATCTAAAACATCGCAATGCGATCGCAAAAAACACATCGCTATGTGGATTCGTCATTAAACGAAGCGCTCATTATGCAGGGCACCACTGTACTTATGTTGGTAAAAAAAACCTGTTAAGTGGGGGAGTATTCAGGGCAGGGAATACACACATGGGGGGTACCCAGTTCCCCAGGGCTCATTCTTAGCGGGGCTCCCCACCCTGGAGTCTTACCAGAGTCAATTATAAAGTGAAAAACAGCAAGAGCTGCAGCTGTAGCAGGACCCACCTGTCCTGGCTATTTGGGCCTGTGGCTTTCCCTGGCCCTGGAGCACAGCATAGATTGGGTCATTTGATTCCCATCGGGCTGACCTTCCCCTTGGTAAAGGTAGTTTACCTGTAAGCACAGCAAAAATGGAGGTGGGCCACATTCTGCACATTTTATGTACGGCTCTGCAAGGTAAGAGGAACATCCTCGGCAGGGCGGCTTGTCAAAAGGGTCACCTGTGAAGCCAAAGAAGGTGCTGGTTTATAGTTTAGACCTGGGGAGAGGGTGCACGGTGGCAAAGTATCTCTGGATTTCCCACCGGAGGATCCCTGGCAGCGGAGGGAGGACAATCCTCCTGTTCTAGATTGACTGGAAACATTTGTCCTGGTTAAGCCCTAGTGTCAGCCTTGTGCCCAGCAACTCCTCCAAAATAATGATGGAATGGCCGTCTGCATGCAATCGGGTGGACAATGCCTGTATTCAATAGACACGCGTGGCTCCAAATAACAGAGGGAGGAGATTCACGGGTTGTGGACTGGGAAGACTTTGGGTCATGAGGAATATCTCTGAGACGGAAGCAGAACTTGTTCCTTATTCCTGGTTACTGAAAAGGCAAACTAACTCCGATCTACATAAGTAAGTTTTATTTATTTCCTTGATTTCACTGGTATCCTACCTTCTCTCATAACTAGGACCCAAGGCAACTTACTATATTGTGTATTTGTTATTTATTTATTTATTTCTATCCATAGATATCCCACCCTTTCTCCCAATTCAGAGACCCCAGCAGGGTGGGTAACTGACAGATACGTAAAGTAAAATATTAACAATTGCTATGAAATGTATACAATATTTAAAGGCCATTACATTGAAATTACTCTAAAAACAAATTAAGAAACAGCAAAAAAGGGGGGTGAGTGGGTGGGTTTGAGGTTCTGTTGCTTTCCCTTTTGAGCAGTGGTAGGCTACTTGTGGCCTTCCAGATGTTACTGCCGGGCAACTCCTATCAGTCCCAGACAACAGCAACAGACTATAGGAGCCCAGCAACATATGGAAAGGGACACGGTCCACACTTCTGACCTCCAGGTTATGACATGGGGAAGACAATGCAAGAGCTATACAGTATTCTTGCTTAGAAAGAGTCATCTCTGAGGTTAATAACGTACTGCTGAATGATGCTAGGTGATCCATGTTGCTTCCTGGGTTGCCCTTAAAAAGGCAGTGGTTTCTTCCAGAATGGGGACTTTCAGAGTTTGCTCAGACCCTGTAGGGGGGGAAGAAAAGGATGGAGTTATTGAGGTACCAGTTTAAAAACTCATTGAATTAAAAGAGGCCCTGGGGTTGTCCCACTAACAAACAGAAGAGCTTGCGCTGGAGAGATAGACTTGTGTAGGCAGAACTGAAGTCCTTGTTTGCAAAGCAAGAGAATAAAACAAAATACTGTACTCAATATTTTAAAGTCTGATGCTTTGTTTAAAGGGAGGGGCACATACTTTTATATGGAGAAATTTCCTAGGAAATAAATTGGGCATCTCCAGCTTAATTGCTGTGAAAAGTGAAATCATGTGAAATCTGCAAATTGCAGATAATATAACAAAATACCAGGCATGTGCCAAGTCTAATGACAGACTGCATGACTGGCACACAACCTGACTCCTACAAAAATCTGGAGCACAGTATTTGTTTGATGATGAGAATGATACCAGAGTCTACTTTGGCCCTCTTTCAAGAGCAAAAGTGGAAGGACAAATGAGAAATGATTATGACAGGTTTAATTTGCCTTTCTTCTGTGCAGCATATGACAATGTGATTGATAAAAGTTTCAGGGGTTGCAAAAGGGATCAATCTGCATGATTCGAAAAAGCTTCCATTTTTTGTATTTCTATGGTCTAAGAATGGTTATTACCTACTCTTGTTTTGGAACATAGAAGTGAGATAGCCATTCTTCCCCAGCACTAATGGGACAGTATATACGTTTAATCAAATAGCCTTCCTTTGGATGTTCTTGTGAGGAGAAGGCAGGAAGGAAAAAAGACCTCCAGAACAATAACAACGAACATCCAAGGAGTAAATATTTGGAGAGACAGAAGAGGTAGTCATGTTAAGTCTGTGAGAGCATCATATGTAAAACCAAAATAAAAGTAAAAATGATAACAAATTTAGAAAAGACGAAAATGGGATGGCACCTTAAAGACTAACTTTTATATTTTTTAATGTGAGCTTTCGTGAACAAAAAGCTCACGTTAAACCATATAAAATTAGTCTTTAAGGTGCCACCCCTTTTTTGTCTCTTTTAAATTTTGTTACTTTTATTTTGTTTTTACTTCTAAGGAGTAAAATCGTGCTTCTGTATAAACTTGTTCCCACATACATTCTGCTTTATTTTTAATACAACTGTATGCGGGTGCTCTTGACAAAGTGGAGTCAGCCCATAATACATACATTCTGCTTTATTTTTAATACAACTATATGCGGGTGCTCTTGACAAAGTGGACTCAGCCCGTAATAAATGTATGATAGATAGACAGACAGACAGACAGATCCATGTACTGTACAATAAAAGTAACTTCTCCCTCCCCGCCGCCACTTCCGCTTTGGAACCAGGATCCAGCCATTCCCCTCCCTCACCCCCCACACCCACCCCGCACACCTTCCCAGGATGCGACGTCATAGCCTC